GCGCCGTGACCCCCAGCGGAGCCCTGAAACGGCTCCTGCCCCAGCATCGCATCCGCGCAGCAGCCGGCCTGGGAGATCATGCTCCTTCACTGTCCAAAAAACAAACAAAAAAAAAAAGCCAAGCTCCCTGGTAATCCCTCTGCTGTAGCTGTTCCTCCCTACAGCCTCGGGTGAAGAGCATCGCCGGTGTACGGGGGGAAAGTACCATTCAAAAGCAAAGTTTGTGGGTGGTTTTTGCCCAGATGCAGGGGGAGGCCGACAGCCACGCGAGCCTCGGCAGGTCAATGGTTGCACTTCTGAAGCAGCGTCCCTGTAGCTGGGGCTGATTAAGAAAAGCAAAATTGTAGAGGGAGGATTGATATAATTTATTAAACCGGTTGGTATGGTTATCAACATTTGCTACATATACAAATACTTCAGACAAGCAGACATAAAAAGGGGACAAACTAATCCTTTATTGCGGATTCTTCTTTACCGAGGAATGAAGCCTTGAACCCAGGTCTCCCAGAGATGCGCCCTCAATGCTTGGCAAGTAAATCCTGTGCCCAGAGGAGTTCTCTGCCCCAGGGACACTGTTTCACCGTCATCACAGCTCCAGCCCGAAAGCTGTGTAATGGACAGCCTGGCCCATCCTCTGAAGGGTGGAAGACTGAGCTGCAGGAATAGTGTTCTGTTCCTTCCCCTATTTTATATTGGAGGTATTACCACCCCTCTGACCATCGCCAGGTTTTTAATTTAAATCTCCAGAAGGTCGAGGCAGAGACCTAAATCCCGGACAGGATTTCATGCTTCCAGTACTGGTTCCACGTGGACACCTACCACAGACCACGCATGGCCCTTGGAGCTCCTCGAGGCTCCGGCAGCGCCTGCAGGGCCCGTTCCTGAGCCACCCGGTTCTCTCCCCCACCTCCTGCAGCCAGGTGCTGAACTTGCCTACGTCCTGGAGGTGCAGGTACCGTCCTGAACACTGCAGAGGCAGCGAAATGCAGTAAGCACCAAAGGTCCTGTCCCAACCTACCTATTTTAACAGCAATCCCATGGTAGGGAGCCTGCAGCAGCGAGGTATAGGAGTGAAAAGCTTGCATGCTCTCCATACATTGCCATAGATTTTAACATGCTACTTTCTTAGGCAGGTTGAGGGGTGAAGTAATTGCTTGATGCTGATTAAGTAGCAGCGCCAAGAAATAAAATAGCAATAATCTGCAAGCAGCTGCTGAATGGGACCTTTCACCTTTTAACCTCGAGCTACCTCGGAAAATAATTTTAAAGAAAAAAAAAAAAAGCATTAAATATTTTTCTGGGGCTTCAAAAAGTGTTTACATTGAAGTTTTCTATTTATAGATCCATTACTGAATGTATACTTTGCCCCTAAACAAGAATTGCAAAGGTAGTGAAAGATAATCTGTCTTCTCAAGAGGGGCAGGCCTTTCCCCACAGACTGGGTTTGTACCGCACGAGTTTTGTTTTCATTTTCTGGAGTTCACCTACCAAAACCTCAGAGCATGCATCTCTCAGCTGAGATTTACTGCATCCATTTGCGCGGGGACAGGGGAACCGCAATGCGTTCGGAGATGAAGAGGCCCGAGGCACCCCTCGGGCGTACGACACTGGGTATCGGAAATCTCGTGTCTAACAGCTCACAGAATTTTAGCATCATTCTAACTGTATGTCATTAATGACACCACTTGGTTCTCAAGCATTATTTTTCATCTCCAGAAGTGGGAGTGAACGTTTATAGTCCTTTCATTGACCTATAAACATTATAATGTTTTAAATTGGACTGCATGAAAAGGGGTCTACTTAGTTTGGAAGTGCCTGTATACCTTGAAGAAAGAAATAAAGCAAAACACCAACCCTGATCCAGCAGAACCATGCGGTAGTCTAACTGTTCACCCCCTGCCCACCTGAAACAGCCCTCAGAAATGCTGCCAAGAAGTTACAGTCCAATAGGTAAGCCCTCGGAAGACCCAAGGCATCCCAATCCCTTCCTGGGGCTGCAGAACATGATGTGGCATTTAACTGGCTTTCGGATTTCCCAGGTTAAAGTTGTGCTTTAAAACGCCACGCCGATCCCCTCCCATGTGAAAGTCAAGCTGCATTTCGGATCCAGATGTTCTTACTCCCCAAGAGGGGGATGGCTTACAGGTAACAGGTACTAACAGGGCAGCTGCTGAGGGGCTCAAAACCAGGCATTCAGTACACGACGTCTTGCTGATCTCCGTGCTAAGTACACTCCGCTTGCCACTGAAACCAGCAGTTCTGAAAAATTCCCTTTCAGATCTTCCCATCTTATTCAATCTGCCAGGAACAGGCGATTTGGAAAGCCCTGTGATGCATTTGGGTGCAGCTACACCTTTTGCGCTCGGGTTGTGCCTGTGCTGAAGCACTTGGGGCGTTTGCCACGGAGAGCGTAAGGCGCGTCACAGCTCCTCTTCCAAGGAGGCAAAAGCAGGAAGGAGGGCAGCAGGGTTTGGGAATTGGGGTGATTTCATGACGCTGGCAGTTCCTGGAAATAACACCATTTGCAAACTGTCCCTATATAGAAACATTAAATGGGCACTTTGGGGCGCCGTGTTTCACAGGAGAGTTGAACAGAAATTTGTAACCTCTGTCCTCTGGAAGTGCTCCCTGCATTTGGTGGAGCATGAATATCTCTGTGGTTACATGAAGCGCTGAAAACCAGCCACAATCTAGGGCAAAGTCAGCTGTGTAGAGACAGAGCCCGTAGAGGTGGGAAGCTTAAGAACTTAATCTACGGTCTCACAGCATGACCTATATATTTTTTTTTTTTTCCACCGAAAACCCTTCGCCTTTTTTGGAAGGCTGTTTCATGACTAAGCTCATACATGATCTTTGATTACCATCGCAGTTATGTGCCACTGGTGTGTTTTCAAGGGTAACTGGGCATTCATGGACATCAATGGGGTAAATTGAGCAGACACGCAAACCCCTCCCGAGGCTGATTTTGGTGAATTGCTGGAAAAGCTCCCCGACATCCAGATCTCAGAATCGCTAAACCACTGATACTTTCTGCTCAGCACAAAGACTGCAGAACCCATGCAACGCTAATCCTGAAGCCACACGATGCTGAAGACGGAAGTTCGTACATCTTTGGGCTGTTTTGCCACCTGCCGTAATTACTGCGCTTTTATAAAGGGCAAACAACAAGTATTTTAGTATGAGAACTGTTCAAGTAAGTTTTAATAGAGTGCACCAGTGAATCAAGATGACTTGCATCAGATTTTGTTTCAACGAACATCAGATTGAAAAAAAAAAAAAAAAAAGAGAGAGAGAGAAAAGGGGCTACAGTTCTTTCTTTCCAAACACCACCCTGTTTCTAAGGCAACAATACACGTCCATCTCCGAACATAACTGTTACATAGGAAGGCTACATCACAGTACAGAATGTAAAGTCCATCTCGGTCAAGAAGCCATTGGAGAATGGCACATTTACTACACTTACAGCCTTCTAACTTAGGGTTACAGAGTTTACCACAGCTTTTTTTTTTACTTTTTATTTTTTAAAGTGACAATTCCTTAATGAACTTTCTATTCTTCATAAGAGTGTGCAGATGGGGCCCATATGTTGATATTACAGTAATTACGACATTAAATAACATTGCACGACCAACCTCTATGGTTAATTCAGTACAAAATAACAAGTATTAAAATGTACCAGTACTAGTGGTTTTACATAGTTTATAATCATTAATTATGAAGGAAAAAAAGGTGGGGCTTTTTTTTTTTTTTCTTTTCTGTAGGCAAGTGCCTTATTACAAAGCTGCACATTACAGGCATAATGATGTGGAATAAATACAAGAAATCTGGTAAAATATTAAACACAAACAGGTTACATGGGAACAAACTGTACAACCACGAAAGCATAAATCAACAATTTTTCATTATAAACAATGCAAGTTTAGCTGTAAAATATTATGTGGAATTGCATGTACTCTTTGGAGGCACATGTTCCAAAAGCCAAGCTAATTCCTGAGGTGGTATTATTAACTTATACAATTGGTCAACACTTCAGATTACCTTGTGCTATTAAACAGTCCCAATATTAATATATTTCCATAAAATGGAATTTATAGTATTCTGAAGGCAGCAAACAAGTGATATTTTACACCATGATATTCAAATGAAATAATTACGGTGCTCCATTTTGGTGCTACATTTGTTAATGGGCCACAGGAGTAAGCACTGTAATTTGCAGACAGAACATGACTTACGCCTCGTTTCTGTTCCCCCACCGCTCTGAGCTGGCCCAAGGCAGAACAAAGTTTTTAAACTGTAAGTGCCAACACTGTAAACATGTTTGTATTTTTTTTTTGTCTCAACAAAACACTGTCCAATAACAAGGATAAGAGCCAAAGATAAGCAGGAACAGTCTCGTGTAGAACAAAAGCCTATTATTCATCGACTTTTGGTTCAAATCATGAACAATCTTTAAATAATTAAAAATGGTCATGCTACAGTTGTGAAAACTATTTTTGTGCATTTGACTCAGGACACAAGTTTTTTAAAAAACGCATGATAGAGGTAAGACTTATAAAACCCACCAAAAATGTAAATGATAGGGAAGAACTTTTCCAACTGAAAGCATCAAACATACATGTCTGTGCAGAAATCTAGACAACTATACAAGATCTGAATTTAAGCAGTCATCTTTTTATTATACAACTCTATGAACATAAAATGAACAGAATGCTCTATATACTTACCTGTACATGTGAACATAACTTCTTTAGCTACAGTTATTTAATATAGGTCATACTGGATTTAACTTTACAATTCTGAATAACTATGTATAACCTTATTGCAATAAGGGCAGTTTCTACACGGGGAGTTTCACAGGCCAATCACATTAGGCGTAACCAGTACATTCAAAGTGTAGATCATGTATGAATCTTCCCTGATCCCAAAAAATTTAGGTTCTCTTTACAGCTTAAGCTCGTTTGCTATCTTGGATGCAATGTTCTTAAATGCGATAGAAGTCCCAGATATTCTCTTGAAACGAACTCCATTGAGCGACAATCGTGGCAGTTTGCAGACTTCCATCTCCCACTGAACAAGGCTATCTTGTCGTGCATCACCGTGAACACAGAAGAGTAAAAACCTCTCTTTTTGTTCGTAGTCACAGTTATTAGCGTCTAAGACTTTCCTTATCTCTCTCATCATATCGTTCGGGTCCATAGAACTAGTGGTCTTCATGCTCCACGTGAACCGCAAGGAGCGTGGCTTCGAATCTTTGCTATCCTCCTTCTCTCTGTCTTTTGGCTCCCCAGAAGCACTCCTGGAAGAAGTGACATACAGCACGGTCAAATATAAAAGCAGTGTAGCCAAGAGACAGAAGAGAAATACAGTTCTAGAACAGGGGTTTCTAAACTGCGACTGACGCACCACTAGTCACACGCAAGCTAATTCAAAGAGTCAGATGGATACAGTTGGAACGGTTGCACGCCCTCGCCTACGCTCACGCGCGCTTCGGCACAGCACTGGGAGCTGCTGCCAGCACTGGTGCAGCTCCCAGTGGTGGCACACAGGCAAAGCAAGTTTGGAAACCCCTCCTCTAAAACGTTCTGATGACAGCATGTGCAATGGTGGCTGCGGCAGACACACGTTACTCCATACTGCTCCAAAGAAAGTGGAATCTATGTAAAAGCATGACTGAAGTTCTGCTGATTTCATGATCTGGAGCATGCCATACACCAACAAAACCGAAGTTGAGGGGCACAGTCCTGAAGCGTAACTCATACTGAAAAAGCAGCAGAGGAAGAACCCCCACCCTGCGATTCACAAGCCTTCAGTTAATCCCCTCCCCTCTTTTCTGGCTTTTCCCCCTTTTGCATTTGTTATGTATTTTTGACCTCTCTCTGTGTAAAACGACCTTGTAAGAATGTGCTTTATTTTAACTGATGAAACAGAATTTTGTGCTGGTCGTAAAGAGCTTGTCTGTCAACCAGTTGAGTACAGAGCCAGCAGCTTTTTCACAGAAGAAAGAGCAACATGTAGACACAGAGTATTTTAGTCGATAAAATGACTTGGACAAAATTTCAAGGGAGTAATTTCCAATGAATGTTCTTACTCTGACGCTTCCTTACTGAATAGATGACTTATTCCATTGTAGAAAGCATTTTGAGAGACAACACAAATTATTTTAAAGTAATTCCACAGCCAACTATTTCTGTTCTTGTCCCAGGCACTTGAGATGCCTGATGCCCCCCTGTCCATCACTGGGGAAAGGTGCTGTTCTCATTTTGATAGTCTATAAACTGTTGCTATTCAGAGAGGAGTCAAAACAAGCATTTTAAATTTAACTTTCAGTGTGATCCCCGGAGAACCACATTGGTATTAAGGGACAGAGCATGGCAGGGATAAGATCTCAAACGACTTTTAGCCCAAAACAGACACTGTAGGATGACAAAAAGTAGAGGAAGCTAGAGAACGAAAGCAAGAGCTGAAAGCAACTTCACACTTCATTTCATTTGAACATTTGGTTAATCTCTCTTCCCTTTCCACATCAAGAATTCAACAGCTAATAAACTTTGAAATGAAAAGGGCTAACGTAGATAAAATGCGTTGTGTATTAAACAATGTATCCTGTTAAGAATGCGCTTTTTTTTTTTTTAAAGTAAAGGCTTTCTGTTTTGAAAACTGTAAGTCGATACTTTCTGTACGTGACCAGTTTAGAATGCAAACTACAATGCCTGTTCATTAGAGAGCATAAAAAATGAAAAGTTATGCACTGTGCTAAGCACACCAAAAATGCAGAACCAAATGCTGAAACATGGCAAAAGAGCAGATATACTGGAAAATGAGCATGTGAAGGAATGCTTTGCTACTAACAACGCATCTACAGATTTGTGTACAGCGGTTGCCATACAAATTCATTATTTAGCAGTCACCACCCTTTTTGTCTGAATGTCACTTTATTTCTCAGTGCAAAGTGACATTCATTTCTCAGGGACTATAAGGTGTTTACTGCTGGCAAACAGCAGCTTTAGTAATGAACACAATATGTAACTGTAGTAAAAATTTAATATATACATATATACACACACACACAAAATGTACTCCATTTGTTTACCAAAAGTAAACACCATTGAAGATTTATAAGCCAAAACATGATTTTAAGTGCCTAAATGATTGGTTAACTCCTACAGGGGGCATTATTATTCAAAGGAATATGCTTAAATAAAGCTTTATATTAAATACCTTGCAAGAAAGCAAAATTGAGGGATAAAGGACCTCACCAAAACCCCCTCCCCCCCCAAATAAAAAACATTTTTGAAATGCAGATTACTTAAGCACTATTCTAGTTTACATCCTGATTAAAAATCTTTAAGAAATCACTTAAACCTTGATGCGAAAGACCTAGGAGCGAAGTATTAATAGTGGCTCCTCACCTTGAGGTGTCAGTTCTGCCACTGGCTTCGCCTTCACTTGGATCCCTCAAAACAAAGTTAAGGTTGAGATTCAATGATAAAGGTGAAAAATAAAAAGTTAAGAAAACCTACATCTAGAACAATGTTAAATAACTACTGAACAAAAAAAAAAAAAAAATCAGTAATGTCAAGCCTAATACTGTTTAATAGTATTTTTTTCACAGCTGTAATTTTAATTTCCCTTTATGACACCTTAACTTCTTTCAGCTCTGACATGTAATTGTTTAATTTTTTTTTTAAAACTGTAAAATTAACATGTTGTTCTCAACCTACTGCAGACAGAGCAATGGCTGCATGTAATTCCAGTAAGCACAGAGGAGCAGTTGGTCAAGGCAGTCCAGGGGGGCTCCACTCTGCACCCTTCAGGGCTGGGCCTTTAGACCTCAGTCCCAAAACCACTTAGGTACATGCCCATGCTTAAGCACACTCAAGTGATTAAAGACAAGACGTGCCTAAGAGTTTGCGAGACCAAATGTTTGGAGCCCAGTTCAGAAAGGTTACTTCAACATCTGTGTAACTTTAAGCAAATCAGCTGTTACATTGATTTAGGTAAGATTACTGGTGAGCTTGAGGTTAAACATATCTTTTTTTTTTATCTTGTTGAATTAGAGCTGTACTTTACTAAGGAACTGTTTTGCACTATGCCTCTTTAGCCTGAAGCAACTTGAAAAATATCCATACATTGTACAAGCCACCTAAGTACATTCCTAGTGCTGCTGTACAAATGTTTTAGCACCCTATTTCAATTAGGCAATTAATTTAATACCTTCAAAATCACAAATACTTTAATAACTAACATCAGAGAAGTATCACTCGACATAAACCATTGTTAAAAAAGTACTTCAATCCCCTATTCATTAAGCATTCTCATTATGCATTTATTTTATATACTTACCAGAAAAGGCATTTACCTTTGCCAAAAGCTAGTAAAAAAGTCTTTCACCTCCTAATCAAAGTATGCTTTAAACCATGATTTCGTGAACACTACAGAAGGTAAAAAGCATGCAGTTATGTGATCCAACTAAAAGAACAGCAACCCTTCCCGAACCTCCACCCATGTATAATCCCAGCCACTAAAAGTCTCAAACAACCCAAAGTTTAAAACAATAAAAACACACCAAAACACCAACCCACACCCCCCCCCACCCCAGCAACAAAACAAACAAAAACCCTACAAAGGCCTTCAACTATAGGAAAATGTATTTTTAGCAGTATAAAACATAATAGGAAATTGTATTAAAATGTTCTAAAGATAATTTTAAAATACATCAATTTACAATATGTTAATTCTAAATACAGTTTACAATATTATTTTAATATTGTTGAACATAATGAAAATATTAATTCTTTGACTCTTCAAAAAATTCAAGATACCATTACTTGCAAATAATAATGAACTGTAATGCAAAACACCAGCCTGTGCTCTTGAAATTGGTTAATTACTTAACAGAAAATACCTTTCCTTCCCATCTGGAAATCTACACTGACACCACAGTTGACCAACTTCGCTGTAACTTTTTTTTTTACTTTTTAAAACCAGAGAACAAACTCTCTCCCCCCAACTATGTAAGTGCCGGAGATACCAGTAATGGAGGATCATAGTCCTGTATCTTCAGGTTTCTGAAAAAAGAAAATCATTCACATACGTCTTTTTTTTAGGTCATCATGGGAGCTATTATTTAGACACACACTGACGCACTAACAGCTCACCAGGTTAAATACATTTTATGAGGAACATTACTGAATTTTCAGCTTTCTCTTTTCTTTTCCCTTGTAATATCACCTGACGCAATTCATGCGACTTGCCACTATTAGCTTAACCTAGCTTTGAATTTGAATGTTTCTCTTCTTTTTTTCTTTTTCACACACAAATGATAGAATTCAGTACATAACAGCATGATTCTGCAAAGAAAACAGAGGTTTCCAAGATGTAATTCTGTTGTAAAACTGACAAAAGTGCAGTATGGACATGTCCGTAAGTAGGCCTAAGAATTACAGGTAAATCACTGTTAGAAAGAGGCAAACTGAAAATTAAGGCCCCTTTTGGGAAAGCTATTGTGACAACTAAGTCAACAGTCACTTGATATTAAACAGTGTATTGGAAAAATCTTTCCCAGCACCTCTCCTGACAGTATCATTACTGTTAGCATCATCACAGGAATGAACGCAGGTCCAGGATGTGTGGGTTTTCTTCTTTCAGAATCCTGAACTTACATTTGAAGAAGCCGGCAACATGATACGAGAGGCTGCATGATACTGAAATATTAGTATTTCCAGTCATCCAGACTTCTATCCATTTCTAAGCTTCTCATTTATTCACAGATTTTAGAATTCCCCAAAATAATTTGTTAATACCCATTCTCTCTAAGCACAGCACAATAAAATCGTTGCAAATACAGCCCTTGCAACAAACTGGACCCAGTTGAAAGAGTAAAACACTGTTAACATTAAATGACTCATTTTTAAGTCACTGCTTTCAGTATTTAAGTTCATTTGATTTTAACTTAATTGTAGCATCTTTACATTTTAGCTGTAAAGCATGAGCAAAAAAACCCAAACAACTGAACAGTGTTCTCTTGCTCCTTTAAAATAAAGAAGTAGAATATCTGGTCAAACATAATGGTTACAATATACACAAAAATAAAACAAGGCAGGTTCTGGAAGGAACACAAAAAACAAGCAGCATTCTAACTAAATTTACATTTACTTCAGACTTAAACTATAAATTCTCCATGACTTCACAATTATGGCCCTAGTTATAGGCTGGGTTTTTTTTTTTTTTTTTTTTTTTTCCCTCTTAAAAATCGAGGTACTAACCTGCGAACAAACTTGGAAGTTATCTTGCTTATTATACCAGTTGATGTCCCTCTTCTAGCATGTGCAAAAGCACCGGTTTCATGGGATGGTGAGGCGGGCGGTCCATTGTAAGTGGCATTACGCCGCTCCCTTAGCTGCTCACCATGGAAAGTGCTTCGACTTGAACTCCCCCGAGGAAAGCGGGTTCGGTCTGGAGTGGTAGTGCTAATACTATGAGCAGATGGGGAAGCAGCAGGCACTCTTTGAGTTGCACTGCTGGGAAAACAGAAGCATAAATAAAGACTATGCTAGAAACCCTCCTACATGACAACCATTTCTCAAAGATAGGAAAAAAATTTCTGCTCTTGATTCTTTTTTTTTTTTAAAACCAGAATCTGCTACTGATTTGCTTTTATGATTCATACTTAGAAATAATCAAGAGATATTTTCATTGTAAAATCAAGTTATGTCAAGTATTAAAAACAGTTAAAAAGAGTATACACAGATAATAGGACAAAGGAAAATAGCTAGAAAATACTGCAGTAAGATCTGAAAGCGTTCCCAGCCCTCTTCTGGAAAAATATGTTCATCAAAACCTTTAACACACAAGCACTCCAAAACTGAACAGGTATTTCTTAAGAAGAAATCATCCGGCACAAATAATAAATGCATAAAGCTATTTGGGCAGTTAATAGTAAAAGCAACTATACTATGGTGCTTTTAGACAGAAATGAGCCTAGTAATCTGGAAAATCAAGAGGTTAACATTGCAGTATTTCATTTGAGTTTATGATGGTCTGTGCTGTACGGGCCCCCGTCTAAATTAGTTAGATTTTTAAGTAGTTACGTTTTCCAGAATCTTCCAGAGGGAGGCAGTCAAGGAACTTCTTTTACGGTATGCAAACATGTGATGAACAAAATCAGGCTTAAATCATCTGTAATACCCACACTACTTTAGTAAGCTACTGTTTTGAAACAGAACGCAACATGACAGTTTCGAATAGACTACAAACATATTGAAGCATATAATGAATGGAACAACATTTTTAAAGTGCACAGCATTAAAGAAATAATAATCCATTTATTACCTTGGTCGATAAGCTTCAGTGCCATCTTTGATGGTTGGCAGTGTAACTTTTATAGGATGTCCAGAGGCAGACATGGACTTTTGATGTCGAGGCCGTGTTGATACAGCAGAAGCTACTGTAGAGCCTGCAGAAGATGTGCTACTCGCAGACATTTCTGTTAGGCTTTTACCATGGCAGCAAGGCAGGAGGGACAGACAAATGAAAAGGGGAAAAAAAAAAGTTAGCATACAACCCCATAGAAACCAGGGAAAATAACAACTAAGTTTTTTCTTTTATGATATAGCAAGTGCTGTTTAAATAACCAGAAGACTGAGTGACCTGGCTGCCTTAGTCAGCTAAAGTAAAGAATACAAAATTCTGAGAAAATTATGTTCTTCCATAAATCAAATCACCATATATATTAAATTAGGCCTTTTCATTCCTCCCAAGATTAAAGCTTACACACATTATTCAAAATAATGAAGAAAGGCTACAAAAAGTACATGGAAATAATAAAAAATACCAAAAAAGAAATCCACAAAAGACTTAAATAGATCGATTAAATAGAGACTCTTTTTTGTGAAGTGAATACCCTTATTTTCATTTAAAACTCAAACACCTAAAACTTTAAACATTTTGAACTGCTGTCACATTATCACTTGGAAGTGACTGTTGTTGTATTTCACCTCTGGATTTTTCCATAGCGTTTTAAGGGAAAGGTAGCTCCATCAGAAAGCCCCGACCTATAGAAGAGGTGGTCACAAGCAGCAACCACTCAACAGCCGTTAAAGCAATTCTGAATTATTTCTTCCCCTTATCTATGAAAAAGTTGCCAATCTTGAACTTTTGGTAAGCAGTCAAAAAATTCTCAGGAGAGACAAGAAATTCCTTTCCACTCTGATTAATTTCTTCAAAATGTCTTCAGCCATTAAATAGATAGAGGTGTTATATCACTAGGGAAAGTGAAACAAAAAGACACACAAAACCTAACAGGCCTGATGTCTGTATTTCTAATCACTTTGTTTTCTATCATGGTGACACCTTGGAATGTTGTGTTTGTGGAATTACTTCTACCTACATGGCCACATCTACTTCTTCTACATGGCCACTACACTTCTTCAGCAACACAAGATTGTATTCGCTTCTGAAAGACATCTTCAATACCTTTGAGAATGTCAATATGCTGTAAAATGCCTCTGACTGTGACAGCACTGCAATTTGAAAAATCCTCTGGTTTTCAGTACCTGGGGCTACCACTGCTGGATGTCTTCCAAAAGATAAAATCCCTACAGGCACATGATAACCAAAACCCCTTAACCTGCCTTCAAAGAAGCATTGAAAGTGAAATAAAATTTTGAAAAGCTGCGAAAGCTCACGCAGGAGTTTACTTCTCCGACAGACACAAGGCAAAAGCCTGCCCACGACCCCAGGAAGAAGGCAGCGCTCCCCCAAGTGAGGGGAGGCTCTTTCCTGAGCCTTGCAGAGCAGCACCTGTGGCTGCTTGCCAAGGGAAACAAAATGGTCCGCTCTGCTTCAAGCGAAAATATTCTCCTTCTGTACCAGCTCTGTATCCCATCCACTGCTAGGCTGAGCCAACCCTTTCAAGATACAGTTCCTTCCACCAGTACTTTTATTTCTGCTTTGCCTAAGTGCCGAGGAAGGTATGAAAGTAGCAATAAAACTACTGTGTTATCAATTTTTGAAACAAAACTCAAATGACTTAAGACAAACTGCAGCTTTGCCTCTACAAGCATAAACAAAATTGCATTAATAATGTATTAGCAACAACAGTCCCAAAGCTAAATAATATCTGTAGCAAAGAGGTAAATATTTCGGATGAATAACCCAGTGGCACAAGATGTTCAGCTATACCAAATCCAAACTGAACTGCCACACAGTGCATGGTAGGAAAGGCAAAAATACAACTCAAAAGAAAATTCTCGTCCTTCATTTTTCAGAACATGTTCCAAGAACTGAACATATTCATTGCACTAATTAAAGTAATAAGGATTAAGAGTCGGCTGTCTTTTCAATACTATAGGAAAGAAAAAAATTGTAAAATGAAAAACTTCAAAATAAAATCCCTTCTCATTATAGTGGCTTTGGTATTAAATCTATTGAAAGAAAAAACTATCAATCTTTGTGAGATCAGGAAAAGAAAAAAAAAAATATATATTTTAGTATATATTTTAACCCTAAATCTAAACAATGTGTGTTATCCTCTTTGTTTTTAAAGAAGGATTGCTACAAAAGTTGTTCAAAATGCTTTAAACAGTATAAAAAAAAAATTTGGAGAGATGCTTTTGAAAACACCCATCTAAGAATTTGAAATTAATACTGAAAATTAGTTTTGTGCTTTTTAACATACCTCCTTAAAGCAATTTAAATAGCTGTACTTTACATGTTCCATAGCTCATCATTTCAATATAGATCAACAGCCCTATACTTTTCCTGTTTCCAAAATTAAATGCATCATTACTAGATTATGTTATTTCATGCTAGGGATTTTTTTTGTTCATTTTACCTTACCTGTTTTATTTAAATAGCTTAAAAAAAAAAAAAATCGGACTAGGATCTATTGCTTTAAACTAAAAAAAAAAAAATTTTCCAGGTTTTATTACTCTCCATTAAAGCCAATGCTTTATTGTTTCAGTCAGGTACAGGGGTTAACTAACACCAAGAATGAACAAAGAACCGATTTTTAAAAAAGTAATTGTGGCAATGTTAAATACAATAGTATTTAACATAACATACTAAACCGAGTGTAATTATCATCCCACATACAGATACAAATTGGCTACCATCACGACTAAAATATTATTTAGCCCAAAAAATTATATTAAAAAGGACTGACAAGTCTTAACAATTTCAACTTTTTGAGTGATTACTAGGAGAAATGAAAAAGGATCAGGCTACACAGGGTGATCTATCTGAAGTTCTTCACAGCAGAATCGCCTGCTTCGTTGTGAGCATAGTTTCTTTGTGTTGGAAGACAACCCTTGGTAATAAATGTGATTCCATAAAAAGAGGCAAAGGCAGATCTACACATTTAGTTATAAATTTCATCACAAACGTAGAAACTGCAGTGGAAGACAAGATGAAAACATATGCTTGGCTTTATGTATTCCACACCATGCTTCACAATGGTATTAACTGCATAACTTAACTTCTATGCCTCAGTTCTTGTACCCAAATTAATAAGCAAGAAAAGTTGAAGAATACCTGTTGTCCTTCCCATTCTGTATTGCAGAATAGCGATCTGAAGAACGTTCACAAACGTAAGTGTTCCTCCTTGTCATTCCGCTACCAGAAAATACATTATTCTAGAAGAAAATTAAGACTAAAATTAAAATACTTCATTCTACTATATATTATGTTGTACAAAATGTAAGCATTGGAAGCAAATAGAGTTTCAGCTGTTTATATATATTCTTAATGTCTTCAAATGAACTAGGTTAATCTGTCAACACAAATAATTTATATCATCAGCTATTTTTTCCCTCCATAGCTCAATCACCACCTCATTACTGTACCATTGAAAGAATGCTAAAAGAAAACTTAGAGAAATTTAATTTTTGCTGACCCTTGCTGTACTAAGTACTATTACCCAATTCCCACATACTGTGTTACTGAATTATTTGCCCCTGGGATCAAAGGAACAAACTGGAATCCCAGAGAACGCATCTATCTGGCTGGTGGAAAGGCTTCCCTGTACAGATTAAGTTGCCAACTGGAGCTCCAGCCTTACAGTTTGTTGCCCCCTGTCAAAACAGTTTTCAAGAGAAAAATTGAAAGATTATCGATCTGTGTCAGTCAACCCAGAAATTACGATGCAGATAGCACGGCAAATAGGTCTTGTAGTAACACATACTGATGGGACTTCCTTTCTGTTACTAATTTCAGTTTGCACATACTTCATAAAGCACTCACATTCTCCTCCTCGCCCTGCCGTGCACAGATTAGCTGCTGAAGACTTACTTTCAGTACATAATGTACAATTCTCAGTTTTTAATACAGTGCATATTGAATTTGGGGTGGGAGAGGTTTGCAGAGTGCTAATATTACATACCGATGCATGCTGGCAAAAGATTTCAAATACACTAAACTCAGGTACTGTGGGACATCATGAACTCCGCAAGATTTACTGTGTGTTTATGTCTCCCTCATCTACTACAGCAGCCTAGTGAATAAACTGTTTCAAAGCCAATTTGTAAGGAAGATTAACAACTGCGATAACAGGCTTTGAAATTAAACTCTTGTAAAAGTTAGATTAGTATGACCGAAGGTGATAAATGTTTTTAAGAAATTCTGCCTTCCCTGACATCATGTTACCCTCAAAATCACACAAAAGTATTTTAGAATTATGAACATTAAGTTCGGTTTGTTCATTTTAAATGTTTGAGTTTTAAAAAACAAATTCACTTTTTTTCTGTGTAAGCTGCTCAACCTTAACTACTGTTGCGATATCAGACACCACCATTCCTTAATAGTGCCCATGACAAAGCCTTCCACAAAGTCCCCAAAATAGTAACAGAGCTAAAAATGTACAAATACTGAAGTTGCCATTAGCAAGTAAATCAATTTCTCATTCCTCATAGCAAAGATCCTCCATTTAATTAGTTGTCACAAAGCAGAGAAATGCTTTCGACATATCAGCTTGTACCATACATGACTGTAATCAGCTTTGGGGCAATATAGTTTTGGGAAAGCTCAGATATGAAATCTAATCTTAGAATACTCAAAGTTCCTGCATGCAATTCACACAGCCACAATTTCAAAGACTCTTTGTGGGGGGAAAAAGCCCTCTATTTAAAATTTGAATAAAAATGTTTAAAGCATCTATAGATGTATTGCGGACGCAGCCTGCAGAACATTAAGAGTTAAATGAACTTCAGCATTTATTTTGTTTAAAGAGAATTCTAGCAGAAATGCATATCACCGTCCCAGAATATCCAAGATTGAAGCCAGCACATAGAATCCTAAAGGACAATGAGAATGCCTGCTGTACGTCTACTGTACTAAAAGATGGCCAGAATTTTTGTATTTAATACAGTGTGTCTCCTCAATGGCAAGAAGTGTACTTGAATCTTAAATTATGAATCACGTGTATTTAATTTTTTTTTTTTTCCACATGAACTATGCTTTTAAGTAGCTGTTTAAGCACTATGCAATATTTTTTCATTGTGTATCCTAAGCACGGACACTACTGCACATGAACTTCCACAAGGCAAAGCAGATGCTTTGTCTCTCATTAGGAGAGACAGACTGTCCTATTTGGAACAAAGATGTCTGAGACAGTAATATGATAGCAGTTTACAAAACTACGAATGGTATCATAGCAGATGAACAAGCAAATTAGTAATTTCTTAATACAAGAACCAGGTTATAACTCATAACATCAACAGGCACACACACCAGGGAACAAGTGGGTTGTTCCCCCGCACCTCACCCCATTTCTGAAGTCAAAAATGAAGTGGTTTCAGAAAGCTAAACAAAGTCAGAGAAAAAAGTTCACGAGGGATATCATGTAGGACCACTCAGATGAAATCTCCAATTCAGGAAGTCCCTTGACTTCCTTGTAGATATACGAGCATTAGAAACCAGAAAAAGAGCACTCCATGTTGGCTCTGTTCTTACGTCCTTTCCCTAAATATCCATTATTTGTCTTGACAGATCTTCAGCTTGCCCAAATGCAGACATTCTCATGCTTACTGTTATGTTAGTGTCAGAAAAAGTAAAGTTGTGGGGTGAAGAGAAGGGTTTATTTTAAAAGACATCCACCGTAGCCTATTTCTGTCTGCCAGTAAAAGTTACTAGAAATAGACTTAGTGGCTTATTCAGTAACCATTAAATCTACAGTAACCTTATGCTGCAGATTTTGTTTAAATAGGGAAAAATAAATATAACATGCCAAAAGCACACACACTCACACTGGGAACTGTAGTTGATTTCTTTCTTTCTGGACCCACAAGTGGACTTGCAGCCATCTCTCCTTTGGATCCCACTGTAGTGCTGCTAAGTTTGCGTGAGACATCTTTGTCCCAGTCTTCTTTCTGTTCGCTTTCCACGCTGTTTGCCTGAGCCCTTTTTGTGTATGACACAGCAGGAGGAATTGAGGGACCAACTGCCAAATAAAAACAGTATTAATAATACCTAAAAATAAGCACTGCATTTTTCTTGGCCAAAGTAGTCTAAATATAATTCCCCGAGTCCAAAAAAAGCATTTGAACAACTATGACTGCAAATTCAGCACATGTACTAACCTATTAAACTGAGCTTTGACAGCCTACATTATTTTCACCCACTCTCTCTTCAGTACCAATTTGCAGTTCCCTTTCCATATCAATACATAAAACCTAGAAGAGTATTTTAATTCTAATTTCAAACCCATGTAATTTGTGCAATATTATGAAAAAAGGAATTAGAGGCTACTTTCCAAATTATTTTTTAGTACTTTTTGCCACATACCTTTTCCTCTAAACACTAGGAAAGATCTTTCTCCCTTGAAAACCCTAAGACTACTTTGTTTAAAAGCATGTTTGTACTTGGAAAAATTACAGTTCTTTCCCCCTCATCATTCTTTAAAATGCTTTGGGGCAAATCTTCCATCAGTAGAAATTTACATTCCTTTGAAATAAAATTACATCAGTTAATCTTCACAATATCAGCTACTTTTTTGGGAAAAAACAACACCACATAGAGGAAGAATAGTACTGGGAGAAAAATTAGAAAGAACAAATGTAAATTAGGCAGAGAAAAGGGCCAAACATTTAAAAAATATTTTTAGTCATTTGATAGTTCTCTTTGGGGGGGGGGGAGGGGGAATATTCTCCTTTCATTTAATGTTTTAAATATGCACTCCTTTTTGATGTAACCACTTTCACCTGAAAATGTTTCCTGAATACGTGGCAAAATTGTTGCTTCTTGGAAACAAACAGTTTGGGCCCAACACCAAATGTACTGATAAACATAATGGTTTGCAGCCTTTGAGTTTATCCATACCAGTATTTTGCCATTACTTCCTAAACAGGAAACATCCTCAAGCTCTTCCTTAGTGAGACAATCAAGCAACAAGTCCAAAAAATTAAATCTGTAAATTACATCGACCCAGATTTACCACAGAAGCGTTCATATGAATAACAGCATCACGGCGGAGCACGATATGATACACAACAAATGCACAGAGTGGTGGACCTGCCAGGTTCACAAAACACTGCACATTCAGACTTAAATTGCGTATGTTACTTTACTTGTTGGAATGTCATCCCCACCATGATCACTGAACCGCCGTTGTTTCTGATTAGTTGATATACTCCGCTGGACCTTCAGGTGAGCGGGAGACTGCACAGAACTGTTGTTGAGGTCGCTGCTAGGACGAGACCTTTGACCCAAGTTGCTGCTGGACAAAGACTCGCCTCCTTCAAACTACAAGAAAAACAGTTTTTCAAAGCATAAACAAAATTCAACATTACTTTTATGGCATAATAAAGTGAAGAGTTCCAATCAAAGGCATTTTTTTAAAATTCAAAATTGTATCCAGAGTTTAATCTTCTGCAAGATGAATTTTATCACTTCATCTGTGTTTAATGTGCTTTAAAAACCACACAGCTAAAGCTAAAAAGTTAATGAATGCTCAAAATAAAATTAGAAGAATTTTGACAGTTACAAAAATTGTGCTATTTTAAAACTTATGCCAAAGAACTACTCCCTAAACCTTTTTTTTTTTTTTTCCCCCTCCTAAGTTTAAAGAGCATTTATAGCTTCAGAACAATTTCAAAATGCATCGGACTGAGTCAGAAGAGCTAAAAAAGCAAGTACTACTGATTCAAGGATTTTTTTATGGCCTTCAACACATCTTTATAAGGTATGTAACTCAGCCACTGGTTTGTTGATATCTAAGAAGCAGGAGTTGTAAAAGCAGTGGAAAAGAGAAATAACCTCTTCCAAGCAGTTTGAGTCAAAATCATTTTTGACAGATTCCCTCAATGCTCTGCCATCACAAGGGAATTCTGTTCAGAGATGTTGTGGGAAAATACGCTCAAAGACGCACGTATCAGACCTGCACTATCTTAGAAATGAAGGAAGACCAATGAAGCAGCAGGAAAAAAAATTCCTTCAAAAAGAAAGCCTTGGTCTCGCCTTGATTTCTTGAAAATCCCTGTGGTCCCAAAAGATCTACAGATCCCTCTAGTTCCAAAACAGTCAAAAGATCTTCCATTACAGATTTATTAATGACTACGATGCAATTATTTATTAAATAATAAAACATACTGTAATACAGTACACGAGTGAGAAAGGATGAGTACATTTCTGAGGAATAAAGGATGTCACATCTTAGTAGGCAGAAGAATAATTGCTCTAGTCCAATTAACTATTTCAGATTTTAACTGTAAACACACATGACAGGAAGAAGATGACAGGAAGAAGACTCAGCACTTAAAAGCCACGCCGCTTCAGATTAACAGCTAGCTTTTAAAAAAGGCAATTCAACATATTTACAAACAAATGTGAAGACACTATATTCCATCTATTTCTTCATATGGGGACTAACAAGATATCCAAGAAGATAAGAAAAGGGAAAGTTACCAATTACAATTTTTTTTAAAAAGAAGTTACAAAATAGTTCATAAAAACATCAACGATCAGAATATTCAACCCAGCCAGATAAAAAGGCCAAAATAGAAGATGTAAATTAGGTAGTACTTACTTCAGGTGGTTTTCTACCTAGAAGCAGGTAAGTAGCCATAACTTCATCGTACTTTTGGTTTACTAAGGATTCATGGATTTCTTCTCTTGAAAAGCCCATTGTGACCATAATGTCTAAAAGTAAGAAGAACCAGATACATTAGCAGAATAAGTGCTTGGGTTTACTGACAACTTAAGAACAATGAAAATAGAAAAAAACCTTATAATTTAACAGGTAACTAGGATTCCACTCAACCAGCATCATCTTTGCTGTGCAAAATCAAAAAGGCTACTACTCCCCTTTTTCGTTGTTATTTACTTCTGGAAAACTCTCAGCTATGTTATTCAACATAGTTCAATGTTATTCAACATTAAATGTTATTCCACAAACAAAACAAACACTGGCAAATAGAAACTATTAATAGCTACAGGGCCAACACAGAATCTTTCTCCGGCCCTGGTGGATAAAAATTGTTGCCCTCATAACAAAATCTGCTTCCTTCTGCCTGTTGAATTCTGTAACCCTATTTGTGTTTTGCTGTGCTTGCAGATTCACGTCAGCTCAGTGAAGTCACAACAGTAGTTACAAGGAGAGCATTGTAATGAAATTTCTCATTTAAATAAAAACATTTTACTTGTACAATGAGATTGTATCTCAAATCCGATAGAGAGTTTAGTTTGACTTACAAGGTAGAATTGCCTGTGTCACTAGATGCAACATCCTTGTATAAGTCTTACCTATTCTCTTGGTGTCATTAAAATCTGGTTCAGGCTCAGTATACGGCTTTAGTTCTTCTTCTTCATGGCCAACATTCATCCACCGATCCTTCATAATTTGCTAAGAAAAGTAATGAGCTTTGGGTCAATATGCCATTTACCATACCCGATTCAGTCTGTGCCAGCAAGTCTGGGGAAAACCAGCTTAAAATTCATTATAAATCTTACAGTTTCTTCTTTTGTCTTTCACATCCTTTTGTTTCCATTAATTCACCCCCGCTACTATTTAGCCTTTACAATACAATGTCCCCCCTAAAATACCAGAAAAATCTACAGAGAGAAAAGTCTGCACTTCCAACACACAAAAATCTTTCATTTTGAACCCTTTGCATCCACAGTCTCTTAATCTTGTCTTGCTGAGTGACACTCACGCCCTAATCTTGGTTTAAGATCCGTAGGTGTTACAACCCTCCCAATTCTATCACAATAAATAACTCCTTCAAATAGTAACAAAGGAAGTTTTTAGAAACTAAGGAATATTTCAGGAGCGTGCCGATGCATCATCCTAGAGTCATTCATTTCAAGATCGTGATGCCAACTGGTCATTTTTTCCTACGATCTTCTCACTGCACTTGACCTAAATATGTTCACAGTTTGGCTGGAGGGAGAAATGCCTTTTAACTCTCTCTATGCCATGCAGATATTGACTTTAAGCATTTCTTCTACATTCTTTGGAAAATTTCCTTCTGCTGAGGCCTGGATCTTTTATATGCCTGCAAGATTGATCAGCTGGAATCCCTAACCACCACCACAACTTCTGCTTAAGGACATACTCATATTTCTTAAAGCACCTAAAAACATTTGCCTTCCTACAGCAACATGCACACACGCCTCTTCAGGGAAAGATGCTAATATTGCTCACTAGATTGACAGAAGAGTGAAACAAGTGCCAGCGAGTCAAGTTTCCCACAGGCTCCAAATATGCCTTGTAAACACCAAATTAAGTTATTTCTCAAAAAGCAATAGTCTCAGTTTTCCGTTGATATAACCAAATTCTTTGTATGTAGTGCTGCTGCCAAATTACAGACCCAAATAACTGTATCCTTACAAGAACAATACAGAAATTTGTACTTGGGCCAGTTAATATTTTGCTGACAGTAAGACTTAAAGATTTGTTCAAAGTTCTGCCACAGAACTGATTTCTTTGGCTTTTGAGGGGGATAAAGGGGAAGGGATTGTGAACACATATTGCTATATTGCATTTCTGGCACACAGAGCATGAGTCTATTTGACAACAGACTTTGGTTATGTATTTGTAGCGTAGCAGTAACATGACAGAGTCCCCAAAGAGTACTATGCAGTATCTGCAATTACAATTTTTTAAAGACATTGTTATTTAAACCTAAAGTTTAAGCATGATGAGGTGTTTGGATGACAGGAATCACAGTGCTCGAATCCTACCTCCCTTTCTTGATCCTTCTTGAATTAACAGGCAAACCCAACAATTCCCACTTACAGTTTTTCATGTCTCTTCAGTAGGTAGACCTATAGTTCAATATAATCTGCTCTAGGTTTCCATCTGTTAAATACCTAAACTTTTGCTAGCTTCTGTCTTTTAAACACATGATCTCATAGGCATACTGAGCTACTGTACAACTCTTAAAACAGGCTCTTGCAATCTAACACTTTGAAGTGACACCAAATGAACCAATTCCAGGATCAGTATTGCATCTGCGTAAGGTCAGCTGGGCTTCCAGTCAGCTGATTAAAGAGCAGCAGCCTTGGTCAGGGTATTTAAAGATTTGACCCAAACTGTATTTCTTAAAGATCAACCCAAACTGAGTTTCAACCAGCTAGATACTATTGATGAGGTTTCCCTCAATTTTCAGGAAAACTATCCAATAAAAATATGGCCTGGCTCAAGACATGTCTGTCTCAAAATTATTTGCTTTATTACTCTTTGTAAGCATAAATCTACTCTGTGGGAATTTCACATAGCATTGCTTTGCAAAGAATTGAAGACTGGGAGGGGAAGAGGAATTTTCTGAAATCCTGTTAGTTATGAGAGATCCACATATTTTCCAACTGCATTTCCCCCCATCTCTTCCTGCGAAGACTTAGTTTTGTAACAACATTCTCTTGCTTCTAAAATGGTTTCTCTCTGCTGCAACCATGAAAAAGTCTAGAGGAGCCATTTTAATAAAAATTTGCCTGGTCCTTACCAGAGGAAGAGTGCTAAGCCTAACCCACACAGTGCTGATCCTGTGTCAGTCTCAGCTTTGATGCTAATGTCACTGATAAACATCCTATTGGATAGTCTGGGAAAAACATGCATGGGAACTGAGCGGGTGTATGGCTGGGACTGAGCAAATAATTAAAAGACAAAGCATAAACAAAAAGCCTCCCCACCTAAGACGACGTTGTCTTTCCACTTTTAGAAATTTCTAATAAATACATGCTTTCATTTTAAATACATATTTTCAGAAGTGCTCAGACAGAAGATACAGTAATATCTTTTAAACCACGTACCATAGCTTTCTAATTCAACAAACGTGATTTCAGGAACATTCATTTTAAAAAAAGTTTGTGATGTCCCTCTCCCTCAGATTAACATATTGATCAATGCCAGTTGTCATTAGTATTTTGGTACTGGCTCAAGACCCCCTGTCACACATAACATTTACTTGCTCTCTTCCATACAATCTGGCAACTACGCCATTCCAGCGAGGCTGCTATCCAACACCGCTCTCCAGGGACAGGAAGGAATTTTAGAAGAACTGGATAACACTACACTACCTAGAATGAAAGTGAAATTAGATCTGAAGGGAAACTGCTGAAAATCTAGAGGAAAGTTCAATAAAAGGAAAATCTATTTTCCTAAAAATTAAACGCGACACAGGAAAAAAGCCAAACTTTCACCATCTTCAAGTGACTATGCTCTTAGCACTATGTCCCCTAGACAGTAATGAATACAACATAATTAATGAATATCAGTGAAGTAGAAGCCATCATTCACTATTCTCTTCAGCACAGACTTTATTCCAGGTTACATCTATTTATAACAAGTCACAAACCAGCATCAGCTTGAAATAAGTTGCATGCAGACAGAGCTCAGTAAATGCATGCTTCCTTGCACAGGTAGCATCCACGCCAGGAAGCATAAGTCATGCCACTACAAATAAAAAGCTCCTTGAATGGGATTTATTCTCTGGAACACCATCCGCTACTGCACAAGTATGCATAGAAAGATGAAACAAAGGTCACTGGTGATTAACTCATGCAAATACTATTTTAAAACCATTCTATTTATCTTCTGCTCTACTTTCATCTCTATGGTAAGTAGATGTTATTTTAAAAAGTCTCTCTTTGTTAGAGAATTCACCAAATAGAACAGAGCAGCATTTAGAGTGAACTCTACACAAAAAAATTGTTAAATACCAGCTCCAGAGTTATCCAGCAAGTACATGCCAATACAGCAAACTTGGAACAAAACAGCCCCTTAAAAGCACTGAACCTTTTAGACACTTTACAAGTTACATGCAGATATACTCTGCATCCCATGAAGAGAAAACCTAATTTACTAACAAAACAAAACAAAAAAAAAAAAATCATAACTCAGTAGAAATCCTCAAAACAAATTTGACTAAGGGACACAGCAGATATTATGCATGTTAATTTTCCAGCTGTTCAGAAACAAAGCTCCCAGAAGGGGGAAAAGAAAGGACTGAACAGAAATAACTAGCAATTATTAGCTTATCATTCAAAGAGTTCTTAGTGTTTATCTGTACTATGGCACTAAAACAAAAAAAAAACACCTCACGTAGTTTTCTATCACAGTTATTCTTCTCGTATCTATCATTTTTAAGAGGTCATGCTGGAAATGGTAAGTTAAATCAAAAATGCGTACAGTACTACTGCCTGCTGCTGTTTTTGTTTTTCTGAAAAAGTCCATGGAGAAGATGTCTACAATCTTGTCCTGCTTTCCACACATTTTGAACTAGCTCCATTATCAGACCAAAACAAGTGGGAGCAGTTAGAACTTTGAAATGCTCTTAAATGATAGTCTTTAGTCAGCTAGAATTACGGTTAGACTTTCACTCATTTACACTTCCCGTTTTCAAGCTGCACTGTTTCTGGGACGTTTCCTCTTTTTTTTTTGTTTAACAAGACTTTTGGGATCTTAAAACAGGAAGAAAGTACCTATCCTATCATGAAAAATAAAGAAGTTTTAAGCGATTATTCTATTTTATTCTTTCTTAATCCAACCCCCCTTTTTTTCCCCCCCAGGATGAAATAACTTACTTCCAAGCTGCCTCGTTTTATTGGATTCAGTACTAGTAGCTTCTTAAGTAGATTTTCACAGTCTGTGGACATATAGAATGGAATGCGGTACTTCCCCCTCAGTACTCGCTCCCTCAGTTCCTTTAAAAGAAAGTTTTAAAAGGTGAGCCTACTAATGACGTAGAAGATTTAAAGAGAATAAAAGCCAAGCTTTCATATTGTAACTGTACCTTTAGATTCTGACCATCAAATGGCAGTGATCCGCTTACTAGTGTGTACAAAATCACCCCAAGGCTCCACACATCCACTTCAGGACCATCGTATTTCTTTCCTTGGAAAAGTTCAGGAGCAGCATAAGGCGGGCTTCCACAAAACGTGTCCAGTTTATTACCGACTGTAAATTCATTACTAAAACCAAAGTCTGCAATTTTAATGTTCATGTCTGCATCAAGTAGAAGGTTTTCTGCCTAAGAGAAAAATGAAAGAAGGGACAATTTATATATCAGAGTAAGATCAATATATCACACAGTGTTAGCATTTATCAATAAATGCAAAATGTTTCTTTTTCTAAAATGATTCACCATCTGTATCTTTCTTGCAGAACAAAAACTAATCACCCGGAATACATTACAAAGATTGAAAATCAGCTATGTTTACTCAGGAAAATAGAACCATTAAAAGCAGCTAAACAGACTTGGAAGTCGGCTAGTGAATCAGCTATGAAGATTTTCTTTTCTGGAAGAAACAACTTTGTTCAGCTTTACACTGAAGTATCTAGACATCTCAGAATAGCAGTTTCAGCTTTTGACAGGTTCATGCCAACTTCTGATGCCAAGCAGCGTAAATCTAATTCCAGACATCATCTACCATTTTGGTGGGATAAATGTTAGAAGGGATTTAAGACTTTAAAAGAAGATCTCTTCTGTTTACAAGATGAAACACTTCAAGCTATGTTCTGTATCTTAGCATTCTGTACCAAAAAATTGTCTCCCCTTTATTATTCATGTTTGCTTTAGCAATAACAACAGCACGGTGTTTAACACTCAAGTATTACATTGTGTATGAAAAAAAATGCATATATTATACATCTAAGAAAATTAATGCCTGTGCAGCGATCATCACACGAATGGAATGCATCACATATACATAGATGCAAGTATTCAGGAGCCCGGGAGAGTCAGTAAGCAGTATCTTACACTTAGTATCACAGGTAGGTCAGAAGATTAAAAGAACAAGGCTAGAGAAATACTAATACATTACCGGAAAAAAATAAAGTGCATTTCTCAAAATGCAAGGATGCTGTGCATGGAGTACAGCAGAACTGGGCAATGTTTACTCATCTAACAGGGTTCCAGCTCCTGACCTGCAGATCAGCAACACAGAAGCAGCACAGAGCAGTGCAAAAAAAAAAAGCCAGAGCAGAGGATTCACCTGATTACTATAAAACTGATGTTTGGCAAACACAATTGAATTCTGCGCTTAGAATTGAACCCAGAAAATAAAAAAAAAAGTCTTACTTTAGGATCAGAGAAGCAGCAATCAATTTGTTAGTTGCTTTGATTAAAAGGGTAAACATGATTTTGTTTGGGTTTGTTAGTTTGTTGGTTTTATTTTTAATAATTTCACTTGCACTCAGCGACCAGGAGACAATTAACTATGAGTATATTGAGCCAATAGCTGCACAGTAGAATTCAGCCATTACCAGGAGTAAAATACAGCCCATTTTTACAAACTAACTAGCCTAGAAAATATTTTATGTTCCCAATTCACGACCTATAATGTCAGCTGGTTCCAGCTGATGTGCTGCAGACTCACAGAGGTATTTTTCCAGATCTGACAGCCTTCTACATTACTGCACAAAGACTTCATTTTCCTTGTGGTGAAAACATCACTGTCAGTGCAGCTGCTCTGCGATTACAATAGTCCTCCTAGTTCAACAGTACTCTGCTACCCAAGTACCCCATGCTCTTAGGTTCTTTACTTCAAACAAAACCGTCAAAAAAAACCTTTTTAATATGCCAAATAGAAAGACTATGCTCTTGTCAGTTACATGTTCACAGCAAGAAGTATTAACAGTCACTAAAAAGGTAAAATAAGTTTTGTGCATCACAGGGTGAGCAAAGTTGGAATTGCTTATAGCCCTTTCTACACAAGCTGTTTATAACCACAGAAAATTAAAAGGAGACAGTTTAAGTACCCATGGGCCTTGCACTCCCTCTTCTGCCAGAATAGCCTGGACAAACCTGCGCATTTTCTTATACACCTCTTCCTAGTTTAGTCTGAAGTAATTTACATTTGATGGGGTTTACCCTTTCTGTTAAAACCACAAAGGCTTATCAGAAATCTCCAAAGCGGTGCTAGACCTCTGCCTTGTGGTGCTAACAAAGCCCATCAGTCAGAGTGCTGATACCATGGAAAAAGTCAACAGAAGCAGATGTGAACACAGACACAACTTTAAAGTTGCTTCTCCCTTCTCTGCAGCTCCATGAGAAGAGATTTAAGTGAGACAGAGATGACACATAACGTTTGGAGAGGAGAGACGAAGTGAGAACACCTCCTCAAAGCCATACGTTTAGGCCTTTTTTCTTTGGGGAATGTATTTTTCATTGGCTATGCTGACTGGCTCTCAATCACACCTAACACCGAACCTTTCTAATGAGTCTAGCATAACTTCATCCAAGAGAAGATGGAGAGAGAAAAGCAAACAAAGACATTGTTTTGGAGCTTGCCTGCCTGACATGTAAATAGGAAGGAGATCAGCAGCAGACTGCTTGTGACAGATGGTAAAAGGGATCCTGCGCGAATGCTGCAAAGCAGTTTTGGATAGTCCTGTGAGCAACACAGCAAGCTGTATGCGTGCTACAGAATTAAGTAGTGAATGAGGGGTGGAGGATGTAATGGGCTCTTCGAGAAAGAGCAAGATGCAGGATGCTAAATAACTGCAGGGGTTAGTGCAGTGAGACTCAATAAATATAGCTGGGCTAAGCAAGCCAGTGCGCCAGATAAGCACAAGGAGGTGGCTGGCTCCCTACTCCCAGCCACGTATAGGGCCGAGACAACCAGTGCCAGCCAGTATGTCCCTGGGTGCAGCCCTCTGGAAAACTCAACAACAGTGGCTGCAGTAAGCTCCAGGGAGCTTGATAAAACATTCATGGGCTCCAAACTGCCACGCAAGACAGGGAGGAATTTTTTTTTAATCAAGATTTCAATGAGATCCAGCCCTTTCCTTCCTTGCATTCTGACTTCAGAGTGCTGGCCAGGCACCTCCATCATCAGATGACAATGGTCGTTGGGGCAGGGAGGACTCAGCAGAAAAGGACGTATTATTCAGCACCATATGCACACGCAGGAGCTGGCAGATGGACAGGTATTAGTGAACAGATTAGTACGAAAGAGGTTGAGAGCATGCTGCAGTGCATTATAAGAAAGTTAAGACAAAAGATATTAGCGGGAAAAAAAAAACCCCTTTGGAATTATTCGACCTCAGCTTTTCACAAGTATTTAGATGCATTAGTAAAAAACAACCTACACCAGTGTTTTCTTTGTAAACATACAAAGACATCAAAGCAAGAGCACAAGCCAGCTTTTAAGCAGGTGAAGAGCTTGTGTCCGAGTCCCATGATATCTAAATTTGGCATGAAAACAACTTCAGACTGAAGGCTTAGGTTGTACCTGCAATTACTGAACTCTTTAACATAGGTCTGGTATGTTTATACAGATAGATAACTAGAAAGCATCAAAAAAAGAAAGAAAGGCAGTTCAACTAATTTCTATTTACCTCTGATTTATTTTTCTGCCTGAATTAAATGCTAGAGTATAAACCAGAAGTTCAAATGGATAAAAACCCTAACATATTTCTTATGAATCACTAAGAAAAAACCATTTTATATATCTTGCAATACATTTTAACGGAAAATATTTTAATTAAGTAGTGCTGACTAGTATCATTGAACATCTGCAGCTTCAGTGTGTAGAGATCCGCATGCCAGCAGGTATAATTCTTTGGAGAGCACGTCTTTTTCTTAAAGCCAAAACTGGAATGAAAGTGCCACATGTTCTATTCTTGTCTCTCCCCTGTTCCAACAGGCAAGCTACGTTATTTTTGTGCTTCAGAAAACAGAATAAAATACAAGTGATAGTTCCCTCATTCACACGTTTGAGGCAATCAGAGACACTGACAAACACAAGTATACAGAATGAAATTAACTCCATGCAGTCAACCAGCAAAACGAAAAAATGAGTCGCAGCCTACCTTAAGATCACGATGGACTATGCATTTCTGATGACAGTACTGCACAGCAGATACAATCTGAAACACCAAGATGATCAGTGAAATATTTTATTTCAATCTCAGTGTAAGTTTTAGCATATAGTTTAGTAATTTTGGCTCCTGATATGATTTAGTAGAACATAAGAAATTAATAAAAGAGCTTTAATTTCAGAAAATATTCATGTACATGCATTTCATTAAAGCTTAAATAGTAAAACTAGAAAGTCCCTAAAAGGAGCCCATTTTCTTACTAAAAAAAGTTTAATACATACTCCTCAAGGTAACAGGAGAAACACCTATTTTAAATGCAGATCACCCAATAGCAGTAACTACAAAAGGAAATTTTTCCACTCCCTAACCCAACAGCTGGATGTACCATCTCAGATTTTATCTTCTGAAATATTTTCAGCATATCTCTGCAGTTCATCCCTAACAGAATAGTTAATTCAACATTTTTATATAAATCTTTTACATATGTATAACAAAACCCAAGTCTGAAACAGCAAGTTAAAAGCAGTTTCTTTATATGTTAATTATATACCTTAATTCTGAAAAATACCATTTTTTAAAATCTAATTAAATCTTTTCACAAAATATTCACTAAAACAGGGTAAGTAAAAGATTAAGATGAGAAAGTCTGTAACAAGAGTATAAAACCCTGTAACAGAATACCTTTCATACAAAACAATGTGGCATGACACAGCAATACATGTCATCATATCAACATTTTCCGACAGAGCATCTGTTAAATTCTAAAATATTCAGAAAAGGATTAAAACCTCAAGCGAGTCACAATAAAAAATGTGGCTCTTGGGAACATCCACTAAAGAAGAATGTAAAACAGTCTTACTATTTTTAGACAGTACGTAGGAAGCAGATATTTTTCTCTTCAGGGATTTTTTCCACTCCAGCTTTAATAAACATTATCACAACAATGAATATTCTTTTAAAGCAAAAGAAGTATGCTCACACTCATGCCTATCCGAAAACACCATAAATAGAAACAAAAGAGAGAATGAATGTTAATTTCATACCTGCCTGAATTTTGCACGAGCCTCCTTCTCTTTCATTCTTCCATGTGCAACTAAGTAGTCAAACACTTCTCCTGACCACGACAAGGACAAAACATCAGTCCTATTGCCCAGGTTTTATTTTTGACTGTCATGCACAATCAAATCATGCTTGAAAACAATCCCCCGCCCCACCTTCTTGAAGGGAAAGGAAATAAAAAGCAGCCAGGAAAAATTCCTTTTTACTGTTTGCATTGGATTTCATTTTTCAGACATGTAATACAAGAAATAAAAATTGAACCCTTTATGCCAAGGCTTCTTCAATTTTTAAAATAAATTCACTTAAACACTGTGAAGCAAAAAAAAAAAATACTGTAATCATGAAAAACATTCATATTGCATACAAGACACACTGGGAAGCAGGCACCGTCTTATGTACCAGATTTGTTTCACATATCTCTAGCAGCTTCACTTAACAGTGTCTGTATTACTTCTGTTTTTTTCCTTCTTGTTCTCTTTCTAATAAAGCTGCTCAGATGCCTTTCAGATCCTCATCTTTGCACTTTCTGATGAGTAGCCTTAGCCCTGTGCTGGGTTCCCTTCCCACACTCAAACATTTCCCATTCAAATGCTAAGCAGCTTCTCAAGCAGGCACCGGCTATCCTTCACGCTCTTTATAATCCTGTTGGTCCCCTTTCCCGTGTTCCTTTTCCCCATCCCCTGGACCTGCCTCTCCAAGTGCTTTGCAACACATTTTCAAGATAAAACGAGGCACCGGTGCTTGCCTAAATATAGCACAGAAATACTGAGTCAAGTTTTTGCCAGAATCAGCACCAGATTGTCTCCCAATATTCCAGCAGAAACCTCAGAATGGTAACTACCCATAAGCACAAACCTAATGGGTTACTTTACAGGATGTGATGCGAGCAAGAAAGCCTGCCCTGGGAGGCCTGTGCTAAGTCTGTTGTGAAGGCCAGATTGGAATAACCCATTAACCATAAAATCCTTAAGTTGTTCCTAGGCATGCAATTGGCATGGCTTTCTGTATTTCAGCTTATCCTTAAAGCAGAATTAAAAGAATCCACTTACCCCCACTGGCATATTCCATTACCAAATACAATGTCTTTTCAGTTTCAATAACTTCAAATAATTTTACTGCAAGAAAAAACAAATGAAAGATTGCATCAGGGAGCAAAAGCACAGTACAAACAAAAAATTATACTCATGAAGTGAGTATAATTTATGGCCAGTGATAACACTAAACCATACGAAAACTTTATATCCTTTAGGTTAGCATTCTTTTGAGGGGAAAAAAGCAAAATTAATTTACGAATCATGTTTTATAATAAAGCATATTAATTCACAATTTTCTCAGAAGTTTATGCACACCATACAAACAAATTCATGCTGAAATTAGTGCTTAATTTGACACAGACATCTTTTAAGAGCATACAAACCTTCCCTGTTTCGCTAGTAAACTGGTCCCAGTTAGATATCTGAGATTCTGACCAACTAAAAACTGAGTAGACACCAGAAACATTAAGTCTGGAAGACTTTCCCCAGATCGTAATAACCACCACTCGTTTAAAATAAGCACACCTCCAACTGCCACCCCCAAGAAAGCAAAAACCAGCCGAAGCGAAGAATGCTGAAAAAGCAACAAACAATTCAAGGGATGAGAAGGGAGTGCCTAGCGTGTAATAACTTGTACGCCTTGTCCATACCTTGTATGCAACAAGCCCTCTGGCCGATTCAGGACCATTAACTGTCTCTGGAACAAGACTGTCCAGCCCTCCTCAGCCAGAAGAATTGTCATCACAAAGTAGGGCCCTGAAGCTGTGGGGTAGGTGAAAGAACTAAAGCAGAAATGGAATATTACATACTTTGTAATTCTCATTTTCTGGAAATATCAGTGGGCGGGAGTCTTTCCTAGACTGAACTAATGGGAGTTTTGCTACCTTCACCTAAGAAACTCATGCTTTTTGGCTTCAAGTGTAATTTCAGTAGACCGAGGGGAGTTGGGGCCCTCAATGGACTGGAGTGCTCAGCATCTCCTACTTTATGTTAAGGCTTTCCTGGACTGAGCAGTTTATCTCCTCAGAGCAAAATTCTGGTTTCAAGCAGAGTCAATAAAGGAGTTGAGACACCAAAGCATTTATTGAATGCTCACTGTCCCACTATCTCAAAAAAGTTTAAGGAACAAAAGCAGAGCTGTAAAGTACATTCAATTAAAGTCAAAGAGAGTAAAATGTAAACAGTATAATAAAAATAAAAAAGCAGAAATGCAGGGTTCCTACCAATATTGGGATGATTCAGTATCTTCATTATTCGTACTTCACGAAACAACTGTCAAGGAAGCAAGACAATTTTCTTAAAGCGTGCTTATTAGGGAAAAGTTACTCAAGATGTGCAATTTTAGATGGCAAAAAGGAGCACCATAAGCCACAGAAAACAGCATTAGCATAAAATATAAATAAATACAGTGCACTGAATGCCAGAAAACATAATCTACATCTTACACATTATATAACAATAAACACTACCAACTACATATCAAAACCGGACTAATTTTTAAGCTTTAAACAAACAGACACAGCAAAATTTTATAGCCCTTTCTGGAGTTTCACATTGACCAAACCCAACAGATTGTTCACACAAGTTTTTTTTTATCCTCTGCTCTGATTTCTTTGGTGACTGGCACACTCAGCTAACTATCCTGAATACATACACAACTGTGGGTGCAAATACAAGGTGCAGTTCTACAAAACAGTTGAACATTCAAATGTTAAAATGGAATTAGATACCAGGAATCCTGACATCCCTCCAGCCCTGCCACTCCTCACAGGTGAAGTGGGTGAATTCACTTTTCTCACAACTGCCAAACCTTATACTGGGTCACAAAAAGAGATGTCCCTTCTTCCCTCAGCAAGGCCTAAAGGTTTATGATTGATAAGTCTGGTTTACGATCCTGAGTCACATAATTAAAAAAAAAAAATTGGATAAACTTATAGCCCTAAGTATACACACTTAAGACAATGGTGGGTTTACTTTTTTTTTTAAAAAAAACCAGAAACACAAGGTCTTCACTCCTAAATTTATAGCATTCATGGGTTTATTGATTAAGTAAGAGGTAAAGCAAGACTAACCTAGGGGCTCAAAGGGAAGAATGCCAACAAAAGGAATCCAAAATGACTAGAGTTCTGTTACGCTATACCCGAGGCTGTCAACACTGGTAAGCTTGCACTGTTTTACTTCAAGTGAGCAGCATATCCCCATTGTCAAATCTATTTACTGTGCTGCGCGTTCTTTAGTCCCGTATTGGACTGAAGTAGGATGCTGAAATGAAGGAAGAAAAGCTCACTGGCTTCGGCGTAACGCTTAGCCATTTTGGAAACATCTTAGCACTACAGTCATCCTTACAGAGAAACTTGGCTCAATGTAGAAGTGCGTTGTTGCCGTTTTGCTTGTCTCATGTCTCAGAGGACACCTCTCTCTCCATTTTCAAAATTAGTCCCATTTGTTCAGACGCTACCTTTGCAGAAGGGTACGCTGATGCCAGCCAAAGACCAAACATGTCCTCAAAGAGTAGCACTTCAGTTTCTGTTTTATCATGGCTAGGACTATAAGTTAAGAAAAATTAAAATTCTTTTGCTTAGACACCACTGATAGTTTTTTACTCCATTTCTGCAGCTTAGTAATAACATTTCTAAAATTCTGTATTTATTCTACAAGTCAAGACTATAAAGCAACACCTTTCTGAATTCAGCTTTTGATCAAGTAATATTGCAGTTCTATATTTACATTATTCAAGTATTTCAAGCCAGTTACTATCCACTTGCCTTATAATTGCCATTAAAACAATTTCAGAAGGAAGCAAAGACTATAAAAGCATTTCTCTAAGAAAACATGAACAGTATGATGCAGTTTGCTTGTGTTCAAAACCTAATACATGGGTATGTAATACTGCACATTAGAATTAACTTTAGCAAATATTCCTGTTTCCTCAAAGCCAGTTATTCCCATTTAAAAAAATCCACCATTGGCTGTTGTTTGTGTATTTTTTGTTTTTCTAAGTATTTGAATTTGTTGCACAAGAAAAAGTTTCTCAGCTAAATCACTCTCAATTAGTCAGAAGCTAACAACTGTAAACCAGTAGATGGTACAGCTTCAGAAGAGCTTCTAAGCAGGTATGTGGAAAATGGCAATTCCTGCCAGAAGACTGGAAAGCTATTTCATAACTTAACAGCATCGATGCTGGTATAAAAGTTACAGCAATGAATGCATGTCTTCATAAGCAGAATTAAAACACTAAGACTTTTCTAAATAAAATAATTTCAAATCTAGAAAAAAGATCATTAAGAAACACAATTAGAACTTGACATGAAATGTGGAGCACATAATAATTGCAAAACCCCCCCTGCATTATTCTATTCAATATTCTCACAGGATTTAAAAGTTTACTAATTGGTTTAAGATTCAAATTTATTTCACAGTGTCATGAAATTTTGTTCCACATATGTAATTTTTTCTTCCATAAAGGAAAAAGCCTATCAGGAAATGGACAAAAAAGTCTATATTCCTCAAGTCAGAACATTACTGACCTCTAGCCTGATTGAGACACTTTGTTATATAAAAGAAACATTTACTTGCTCTGGTTCTGAAGAGAAGCATCACCAAGACCCAAAGTATGGGTTTACGTTTATTCCACACAAATGCCAATAAAATTTTTTACAGCATCTTGTATTATATATCCTGTTGAATAGACATTTTTCAGAAAACTGAAGCATATGTTCTCATAGAAAAGCAGGTACACAGTCCTGGTAGTCACCATGAGTATCTCAAGAGGAAGTAATTAGTGTCAAGCTTCTGAAAGAAAGCAACTATTTTCAGGCAAATTCTAAATTAACTCAAAGTCACAAGTTGAATTTGGGTATTTTCTTGCTGGCTCTGAGGTGGTCTTTGTGTTTGTTTGGGGATTTGACTCAAAAGCACTTTTAATGTTGGTTGAAATGCATTTGTATGCTTAGAGCAAGAACTGGACAAGGCTGAAGCAGCCAAAGTTACCTTACATGATGCTCATCCACACAAACCACGTCAAGCATAAGATGAATGGAAACTGGCTATTTTATTTTACAGACGGGATGGTGTCAGCCCCCCTACAAATGTCTAAGGGCAGGGAAAGGGAGAAATCAGCAGGGTAAGAATTGAAAGAATAGTTGAAATCTTGGCATCTACTGGCAGGTACCTGCTGACTAAATGGCTTGCTCGGAGAAAAGATTAAAAAATCCTAAATGGTTGTACTACCTGCAAAAGCCCTCTCCCAACTGCCTACCCACTACTGAAACTACAGCATACAAGGTTGCCTTCTTAACGGGGAGATCCACGCTGCTCTGAAAGTTTGTGTTTTGCAGTTGTTATTGGCTTCAGACAAGTTTCCAGCAGTTGTTTACCTGGAAACCATCATTTTCAGACCTTTTTCTGAAGTAACTCAGGTATAGGCATCTTGCAAATTAGGCAGATGTAACTTACGTATTCCATAATACTGCTACGTAACTAAGTCAAGCAGCTTTGCTAAAGCTGCTTAGCGTGACAGATACCTTCCAACCCAAGGAAGGAAGAAATTATTTGAAAGGCTGAAAGAACAGAAATAATGGACCGGCACTGTGTAGAGACCACAAACACAGCCACACCACGCCTTGTGTAGTCCCTGACCCATATGGTCCCAAGGGATGCGTACAGGTCTCAGATGCAGAGTGGGGAGAAAGAGCAGGGAACCTTATTTCAATGCAGATGTTCAAAACAGCACAGGAGGAGCAGGATGGAAGTTGGGCAAATTAACTGTTCTTTGGAGTCCTGGTGTATATTCAGGATTTTATTTGGTCCAGTAAAAATGCATGTTTATACAAATTTTCTCTCACAAGAGAGAAACAATCTAGAAAACCTCTGAACAATGGATAACACTTGAATAAAAAAAAAAGTTTTAACAGTATTCAAGTATTAGGGTACATTATTTTACATTGCAACTCTGCATTCTGTGAAGCACTAGATTGAGATAAATCTTTTTTCCTCCCCCACTTTCCCCTTGCAGAAGTATGCTGGTCATTAACACCACTTACGTCAATATCTATGTATTTACAAATAGGTATCTTTAAAAATAGCCACTACACCCCTCAGTAACAGCCAGGATACCTCTGTATGCAAAGGAAGAGATGTATTAAAGCAACAAGACCATAGTTGTTTCCTAAAAAGCCAAGTTTGTTAATTTTATAGAAGACTAGACGGAACAGAGAGATTAGTTCTCCTTTTGCAACAAGGCAAGCTGCAGGATTACATAATGATCTATTTTCCTGACACAAACGGCGCTTTCCGAATTGACACACACCTCTTATTTTCTTGAGCAGCAGCGTACTGCTCTCTCAGAAGGTGTAAGCGCTCCCTGACTTCTCTCCCCCCTTCCCACCACTCTTCATTCTTAACAAAGTGCTACCATTCAAAAAAGCTCTTGAACCAGCATCTCCTTGTTGCAAAGGGGTTGTAGCCTCAACAGCTTCACTTATAGTACAGGACAGCCAGCACCATACGCAATTCGTAGAACTTGTACCTATGGAAAAGGCACAAGGGTTGAAAATTTGATTCCTGCTTTTCCAGTTTCATTTTTCAGGGCACAGACTGCAGAAAGTGCAAAGATCTTCTGTCACACCATTGCTAATGTCTCTCTACTTGCTGTCAGGCTTAACTTGCCGACATCTATGTTTAAGATTTACTATTTTAAGTCACTACAATCAAACTAAAAATCTTCAGTTAATCAAGGCTTTTGCTTGCTTTGAAAGATGTGCTTGAATGCTTCTCTGGTTTCTAAATCATTACTGAGAAGGGATGCTGAAAAAAAGCATAGCTTTCAATAGGTAGCACACTGAAATTGTTCCAAATCTTCTACTGCTTCTTTACCCCTGTTCTGCTTTTCTTAACAACAGAAAGAACTAAGTTTGAGGCTTTAGATATGTTTAAAGAATAAAAAGAAGCCT